TTTCTGTGGTTCTGGTGAAGCAACATCACTGCTGTCTGAGTCTCTTTGTTCTGTGTAGTACTAAACTATAAGAAAACCAACGCTGATTTAAAGTATTGTTCAGTTTGATTTGTCATTTGACAGAATATAGAGTATATACACTACTGTCAGTCATAGGTTTGTTTGTTTTTTGTTGTTTTTTTAATTTTAAATATATAACCAGTATACAGTCAGTAAAAAGTCATTTAGGAAAAATTGAAAAGAGAACCTGGATATATGAGGGCAATCCCAAAAGTAAGCTCTTCTATTTTTTTTAGAAATGCAAAAACTGTTTATTTTCTATAATATTTACATCATTTTAAAGGTTGAAGAATTTTTTCTTTTTCTACATAATCGTCATGTCAGTTGATGCATATTTGTAGACGCTGTTCCAGTTTTACAATGCCCATGTCATACCAGCTCGCCGCCATGTCCTTCAGGAAGCGTTGAACCTCATCTTTTACCTCTTCGTACTGCTGTAAACTCTCTACGCCACTTAGAAACCAGTTTAACACCTTTTGCGTTCAAAAATCGAATAACTACGCACATTTCGCCCTTGAAAACGGGCGATCCATTTTCAACGTCTGCCAAGCCCAAACAAGCATCCAAGTGAAGCCGAGCATGCTTGTTTGAGAGTGGAGGAAGCACCAATCACAACAGTGTGACGAACAGCCGTATGAACAGTTTCTCTACGTCCCCACCGCTTTGGAGACCTTACTTTTGGGATTGCACTCACACTATACAGAAATAAATCAAAATACATCACAGTATTACTTTAAAAACAGTGTGAAAAAGTGTGGCTTAAAGTGTGGTTGGTAATGCAGAGTAATTTCAGTGTTTGCGCAGTAGTCTCCATAAACAGTTTATCACTTTAAAATGTGCAGCTACAGCCACGCATCCTGAATTCAGGTTCTTGTTTATCTAGAAGTTAAATTTGTCCCTGTATCATTACTCCTTTAAACCATGGTTACAAAAATGCTGCTGTATTGAACATTTTAACAAGTACTCTGCAGATAAGCTGTGGCTACACCTGGTTAATCAATGCTGGAGTGTCTGGCCCATTGCTAGTTAAACCTTTACACTGTTCTCAGCCAAACACAGGAATCCACACCACTCAGCCATAAAAACAGCCCACTGTTACACTACTGTGAAGAATTCCTTCATTCAGCCAGACTATGTTTGTAACATACAGTATGTAGTTTTAAATCAGATGTGAAGGTTTTTATTAGCTCACTATAGAGATGGATTGGATTTTCTATGAAAGGCAAACTTGGCCTGTC